ATTACTCTTTATATTCCCTGTACCTTGCAGAGGACTTGGCATGGAGGAGTCGTTCAATAAACAGTTGTTGACATAACCTTCTAGTTCTTAGTACAACTAAGACTTCCCATAATTGATCACATCATGGCCCTATTTAACTGTCGTCAGTATCCAGATCAGGGTTTATTTCAATGCTTCCTCGTCCTGGCTTCCTCATTTCTTTATTTTTTCAGTTACAGATGGTTCTGAGGTTTCACTTCCTATTTGGTTTCTGAACTCTGAGCACGAGACTTGGGAGCCCTTTCACTTCATCTTTTATAACCTTTCCTAGGGCTGATGAGACCAGAGCTGGCACTGCATAATTGCTGTGTGGGCACTTGACAACTTCTCCACTGGCGCTTTGCTGAGAGCCGCTGTCCTGTTGAATGGTTCTGGCACACGAGGGAGGGGAGAGGGCAAATGATCTGGGTTAGAAGTGCCACATGCAAGCCATGGCCTCTCTCTTACCTATTGTAAGACCTTGGGCAGATTATCGGGTCTGCCCCATCCGCCATCTTCTGATGGACTTTTTGCCCTACCTCCTGAGTAACTCAGAGGCCACCAGAGACCCCAAGCTCTTCCTCAGGGTCTCAGGATTGTCTAAGTCCTATTTTTTTGAACATTATCAAAAGAGAAGGCTGAAATCTAAGTCAGGCTAAATTTGATTCAGACAAACAAATGTGGCATTTCTGTATATGAGTATTGAGGAGAAAGTCATACCTTTCACACTTGAGTCCATGAGAATTGCAGCCTCACTCTCTTTAGAGAGCTTGTTTTCCATGGCCATATGGTCTCCCTGTAGGTGATGTTCCCTTCCTGCCCTCTTTGTGGGCCTGATCTGGGCCTATGGTCCACCTTAGCGGGAGTTCTCTCCCAGCACCCAAAGCACTTCTGTCATCCTAGACCTTGACGTGGAAAGACCAACCAATGCTCACCTGTCCCACCAACCACTACCACCTTCTTTCCAGCACCTCCAATGTGTCTGCCCTTGGGGCATTGCCTTCTCCCAACACAAGTTTGGTGGGATAGGGTAGCAGAACTTGTGTCCCCCTCAAGTGTAGCTTCTACACAGGGCTGTACTTGGTTGTATTTTTCTTTTTTTTTTTTTTGAGGAAGATCAGACCTTAGCTAACATCTGCCAATCCTCCTCTTTTTGCTGAGGAAGACTGGCCCTGAGCTAACATCTGTGCCCATCTTCCTGTACTTTATATGTGGGACGCCTGCCACAACATGGCTTGATGAGCGATGCCATGTGCGCACCTGGGATCTGAACCGGCAGACCCCAGGTCACCAAAGCGGAACATGTGCACGCAACCACTGCGCCACCAGGCTGGCCCACGGTTGTATTTTAATTAAAGGCTTAGCTCTCTAACAACTGAGGTTCCAAAGAGGCTTCACTTTCCCTCCAGCTCCAGTCTTCTTAAAAGGCAAATTCAGTCAGAGAGCAAAGTCTTTGCCTATACATAGGACAGGAAACCTCAATACCTGTCATCTCAGAGGGGCAGTAGAGGAGACTAAATGCTCAACCAACTTATGGTTTTTCTTGGTGGTGATTGGTTTATTATTATTTTTACATGAGTCAGATTTATTTCAAGAAATAAATGGAAAATGTCTCCCATTTTGTCGCAGGCACTGTGCCAAGTATTTCAGATGCTTACGAACATCATTAGGTAATTATCATATTTACTGTCAATAGTACTCATTCATCTCGTGTGCAGGGAGACGAGCCCTTCAGAGCATAATCGCTTCAGGCTGGAGCATCTCTACCCCCAGTGTGAAGCAATTCCATGTCATCTGCACCTCCAGACTGGTGGCGAGACAACCCGTATCCTTCTTTGACTACATTCTCTGTAGCCCACACCACGGCCTTCCCCATGAGCAATGAAAGGTCTCATTCAATTCCATCCAACCAACCTTATTGAGCTCCTTCTGTGTACCAAACACGGTGGTTGTGATAGAAAGATGGATAACACGTGTTCCCTCCCCTCAAAGGAGTTTGCAAGTTAAGGGTGCAGATAGAAAGACAAGAAAATAATATCTACTCTGGGGGATATGTGCAGTAGTAGAAAGATGGACAGATGTGGCTTGGGAAAGGGAAGGAGGAGCTCTCTCTGGACTATTAAAGTAGGCCACAGAGATGGCAATGCCTGGGTTTTAAAGGATGAATAGAAGTTTAGCATGCAGATGGGTCAGAGAAAAAGTATTGCTACATGAGGCTCCATTGCCTCTCTTCCTTCTCATCCCCACTGCCACGTTAACGGGACACTGGGAAGGTGGAAAATAAGAAGATAGAGTGGCTGAGGGATTTTGCTTTGGAAAGGGAGGGCACTACAAGCTGTGGAAAATAGTAGATGGGGGGGGGTGTCAAATAATAATAATCGCAAAAACATACCTAGCACTGACTATGTACCAGGTGTAGTTCTAAGGACTTTACATGTATTAACTCATCTAAAATTTGTCCCTATTTTATGGATGTGGAAAAAGTCTAAGTAACTTACCCAGAAACACATAGCTACAAGTGTTGGAGACTGGAACCCAGGCAGGCTGGCATCCCAGTCTGAGACCTATGAAACTGCAAAGCCAAGAAATGATCAGCCAAGTTTGGGGAATGTATTCATTGAGAGCTGAGAGTGAGGGGGAAGAGATGAAATCCAGGCAAAAGATACTAAGAGTGACAAAAATACCAAGAGGGGATTTTCAAACAACACTGCTATTTCTTTGCCTCCGCCTCACCCCCACCATTCTCAGCTTTAGGTGTTTTCTTAACAGGCTGTAACAAAGATTAAAATTGCCTCTCATGATTTTGTTTTCTGCTGGGCTACTTCTTCTTTAAATATGACTCCCTGTTGAGGTCAGTGCTGGTTGGGGGGCCAAGTATTATGAGGATAACACAAACCTTTCAGACAGAGGTGGCCAGATTGGGGAGAAAGTGACAAAGAGGAAGGAGCAGGGTGTTCCAGGGATGGGGGACAGCCTGTGCGTGGACTTGAGAACAGCCTGGTGTCTGGGGAGGTCATCTGTAACAGATGATGACAGAATTGATTTCATTTTCAGTCTCTTCCAAATTTAGCCCAGCAACTCCATGTCCCAACAAAACCTCAAAAGGTATTCCTGTGGGGCGGGAGCTTCAAGGTGTCTCCAATGACATCTTCTCCATTTCGTTGCCTCTTTTCTCTGCACAAACCCTTGATTCACACAATGGCAAGATTCTCTCCATCAGTTTGCTTTCCATGCTTTAGAAAGCATGGCTCATTCCCAGGCAATACACCAAAGCACAACAGACATTTACTTTGTTGGAGGGTTGGGGGAGGAAACACAACTTTTTAATATTAAAAGAGCATTTGGGTTTAAACGAAGAACATTCCGATCACAAACCATCGGGTAAAAATAAACACTGCAGAATCAGTGAGGCAGTGGCTCTCAAGGTGGAGGTCCATTTGGTTTTCCAAGTGTCAACAGACTGGTCATTCCTAGGATCCGCGTTTCTTCTGTGGTTGTGTTTACACATTGGTTTCTGGCGAGGATGAAGTGTTTGCATATGACTTTTAGTAAAATGCAGACATCACCTCATTGGGTCTCATCAAAAGCAGAACTTGTCCCCCCATTCATCTTTGTCAGACCAGCAGGAGCAGCCAGGCTAGGTCATCCAGGGCCACCATTTCTTTCCCAATGGAGGCAAAGATGTCATCCTTCATTTCTAACTAGACTTTAACCCTGTGAGCTGGTAACATTCCGTTAAACCCCAGCATCTCCCTTTGGATCCTTTCTCGCTGGGATCAGGGAATCATATGGGCCTTTGGGGTAAGTCTGAAGATGGTTCTCGGGTGGCTCAAAGGGTACACCTCCAGGTTTGTTTTGTAATAGTCCATTATTCTGTTTGGAGACTCCTCTTTTCTCTTTAAAAGTGAGGTTCCTGCCGGAGATTCAGGCTTACAGATTTTCTGGTCTCATGTTGTGGCCCTATCTCTGGCATTCTCTTCCTCGCCCAGAGGATGGTTTACAGGATATGGAAATGCCCAGGGAGAGAGTCCAGTGGGACTGCTGCCAGTCTGCAAGTCAGAGGAGAACTGTTTATCCTATTAGCAAAACCAACAGAGCCTTGCTTCGTCCTCCACTGAAAATTCCCCCCAAGCCACTGAGCAGGCTATGACAGACTGTTTTGGAAACCGCTAGAAGAAGGAATCTTTCAATGTTATTTACAATTCAACAAGCCATTGCATTTCCCTGGTCTAGCCAATTTCCTCAGTGACCAGACCAAACTCCCCAAAGCTTTTCTACCAGTCTGCAAATATGGTCAGCTCACGGGAGAGGGCTGACAATTCTCCAGGCCAGCATCTGAGCCCTAGTTCATAGCCACTACAGCCCCAAGTGACGTGAAATTTACACAACGTTATAAGCCAATATGACTTCACTAAAAAAAAATTCCTTATTTTAGACACACATGTGTGTAATAAAGAGGAAAACACGAAATTCAGAGGAATTTTCAAGATCAAATCATGGGAGCTCAGAAATGATTTTCGCTTGTGGCCGGTTGCTTTGCCCTTTTGGGGTACAGCTCACACTTCTCTGTGCTTAGGAGAATTTAACAGGTAACGTTGAAGATCAGGCATTCTCCTGCCTCCATACCCTCATCTACAGCTGAGCAAACTCAGGCTCGGGGGGGCTGACTAGCCCACAACAGCATATTAATTAAAACAGATCATGACAAGAGTCTAGATTGTAAGATGAAAAAGCACACGAAGTTTTGCAAAGCTGAGGACAATTTAGAAGTCACCATTGTAGCCCGGTGGCTCTCTGCATATTAAAATCAGTAAAGAGGCTGTTAAAATCTCCAATGTTTGGGCCCAACCACAGTCAACTAAATTAGAATTTCTTGGGGTGGGACCCAGACATCAGCATTTTCTGAAACTCCTAGGTGATTCCCGTCATTGAGCCAGGGTTGCTGGATCCAGTAAATAAAAGTATAGGAGGTCTAGTTAAATTTGAATTTCAGATAACTAATAAATTTTTTAGCATAAGTATGTCCCAAATATTGCATAAGACATACTTACACTAAAAAATTCTTCATTATTTGTCTAAATTCCAATGTGACTGGGCATCTTGAACCTCATCTGACCACTTGAGTGCAGCCTTGCCTGGGAGCCGGGCCTTAGGGAAAGTGTTTAACTGTGAGGACCTCCAGGCACTTCAAGGTCAAGGTGCCAAGCTCTGCGCACTGATTTGTCACCGTCAATCCCAAATTTGTCCAGTCTCAGACAGGATTCAGGAGCCAAGTGGGTGGCACCATTTGGATCCTCAGGGCCCTGGGCCTGACACTGGTGACTTTTCTCCAAAGAAAGAAACAAGATGTTATTTATGGAAAAGCGAGGGAAGCAGGTGGGATGTGTTCATGACGCTCTGCTGTGTGTAGTTTGCCAGAGCATCCTTTGATTGCACACACATACATACAGAGAAAACAGGTGAGCCCCTGACCAGACCCTGACGAAGGCTTCAATGCTCCCAGCAGGGGCAAGTCTCTTCCCATAAACATCAGTTTCCTTCACTTGGGGCCATGAGCAACGAGGCATCTTCTGAAAGTCATAGACAGGTTACTGCTGCAAGCTGCCTTCTTCCCACCAGCTTCTTGTCTCCCAGATCTGGGAACAGGGAGCCGTGAAACCCTGTCTGCTTTTGCAAAAGTCCCTCAGGATTTAAAATGCACCCAAACCAGCAAGAAACAAATACCTGTATCCCAGTCAGAACAGCAAACAGTGAAGTGATGAAAAGAGAGAGAGGCCAGCCTCGGGGACCAGGTGCACTCTCCCGGGAACAGGGAGGCCTATATCCAGGAGAAATGCGGACAAGCAGCAGTGGGAAGCGCAGCTGGTGGCTCGATTTCAGCCACCGCCATGCTGGAATTGTCCAGGGAAATCATCGCAGAGGCCTGACCTCCCAGAGCCCAAGAACTTGTAAACTCACCCATGATTTGCCAACAGTGAACTAATTACTGTGAGCCGCCCAGTTGGTAGAAGTGTGAGTGTCCTTCTAACCTGACCCCACACTTCCACAAGCAGACAGGCCTTCCCAACAGGCATTTTCCTATTTTGCTACTGGTTTCTAACTCATAAATGGCACACAGGGAAAATAAGGGGCTCAGCTCTGCATGTTCAGACCAAGACTCCAAATCCAAGACAAGCCATGCATGGGCGAGGGGAGAAAAAAGCGATGAGTGGGACTTCTGGAAGAGCACATGTAAAGGAAGTGGCAAGGAGCAGGCGTTCTTCTGCACAGGGTCCCAGGCTCCCAGCCCAGGGAGCCAGCGGCTGCCTTGCCAGCCCGGGGCTCAAGCCAGTGTTCAGAGATCTCAGCCTCCCACCAGACACACACACAACCAATTAGCCCTTGTCTTGTTCCCTCCTGGTGTTCTAGATGGCTTCTGTGATGACGCTTCTGCGGTCTTGCTCCAAACATGATCAATTACAGTCCAGAAAACTGTTGAAGACATTTGTCCCCTCTGAGGTTAAGACTATGAGATTCCATTTCTTTGCTAAGGTCCCCTCTGATCCTTGGAATCCGCAAAATGCTTCCTGGGGCAAAGAGCCCGCTTCACGAGGCTGCCTGAGCTCCCTGGCTGTTCTTAGTGGTCACAGTGACTCACGTGGCTGCTATCCACCCACAGGCCTCCATGGGTGAGAAGACCATCTAGTCACCAGGCGCAGAGCGCACAGTGCCAGGCTGCCCTGGCCCTCGTGCTCCTGGAGGACCTACGAGACAGGCACCGAGACTCACAGGGGACCAAGCCTCCTCTGGCTGCACTGCCCGCTTACTTGGTTTATTCACCAAACAGTTCTTGAGCTCCCAATACATTGATATATTCTGGACCGTGTGCTAGACAATGGGAGTACCAAATGTATAAGACAGAGTCTCTGCCTTAAAAGATAACTCCATGGCAAGCCTTCATACTCTTTTTATTTTTTCAAGTTTTACAGGCTTTTTTTTTTTTCAGTGAGGAAGATTGGCCCTGAGTTAACATCTGTTGCCAATCATCCTCTTTTTTTTTTTTTCTCCCCAAAGCCCCAGTACATAGTTGTGTATCCTAGTTGTAAGTCCTTCTAGTTCTTCTATGTGGGACGCTGCCTCAGCATGGCTTCACGAGCAGTGCTAGGTCCGTGCCCAGGATCCGTACTGGTGAATCCCAGGCTGCTGAAGCAGAGCCTGCGAACTTAAGACTACGCTACTGGCCGGCCCCAGAACTTTCATACTCTTACCCACAAGGCCACATCCAGTGATCTGGCCAAAGGAAATCCTCAGTGAAACTGATGAAGATTTAGGTACAGAGATAATCATTGTAGTTTTACTGACAAAAGTGACAAGTTAGAAATCTTTTGAATGTCCAGTAATAAACATATACTTAAAATTTTACAGAGCAGCCATTGGATAGGCTATTATGTAGCATTCATTCATTCATTTATTCATTCAACAAATATTCATTGAATACCTACTCTGTGCCCATCTGAACGCCAGGCCCTGTGGAGACAGGTATGTGCGTTCCCACAGCTTAGGGTTTAGTGGGCTGTACGTGTGTGTGTGTGTGTGTACTTGTAGGTTTGGTGGTGATCAGTGCTTGGAGAAAACTGAGTGGGAAAGATGTCTAGATGTCTAGAGAGGGGTTCTCTTTAAGACAGGTCATGGCTGGTGTCCCCGGGAAAGAAATATTTGAACAGAGACTTTAAAACTATGTTTAATGAATGTAAAATGCTCCTGAAAGAATGTTAAATTGAAAAAAAAGGTTAAAAAACAGCCATCGTTAGGATGAGATCTGTTTTTAAAGTATACACATGCTACGTGTGCACGCGCACACACACACATGCGCTCACTGAACCAAAGCCCAGGAGAGCAACGGAGTTACCCTTTGACACCCATTCTTCCGGTGCCCCCACCCTGTCCAGCTTCCTAATAACCGCATGCACCCATTGGTCTCCCCGCAGGCATCACTCCCTCCAGGTGGCCTTCCCGCTCCCTCATGCTTGGTGCGAAGTTTGTCTCTTGTCCTCAGTAAGCTGTGGGTCTTTGTGGGGCAGAGACCTGCCTTACTCCTTGGGCATTTGGCACGTGATGCCACATCATCCAATCCACATGCCTCCTTGCAGAGTGTGCTATAGGATGGCTTCCTTCTCTGGGGTCCTAGGGGTAGCCGAATGTGTCTCTCCCATCATCATTCTTTAATTTGGCTAATTGATGTTTTCTGCTCCATCTCTGGACACATGCCAGCTAAACCTAACTTCACAGAAAGTTTTCTGAAGCCTCTCCTCTCCCCTCTCCCCTCCCCTCCATCAGACTGTGGCCCTTCCAGATTTCAGAGTGGCTGCTGCCCCCCATGAATAGGAGAGGATTGACTTTACCACTCCTGCAATGTCACCATAGCCCCTTGTACTTTGTTATTTTTATAAGCAAAAAGTGGCATTTCACTGTTATTTTACCTTCACTTGGCATTTCCTTACAAGTGAATTGGATGGTGGGGTTTTTTTTTGCATTTGCATTTCTTCTGTAAATTGGCTGTCTTCTTTCCCTACTGCTCTATTGAATTTTTAGGACTTTTCATACGGACTTTTCTAAGCTTTTTATATAATAAGAATATCACCAGGGCTCTAAGGACATTCTGAGAAGCTAAGCAATGGAAGTCGCAAAGGGAAAGATGAAATACTTGTGTAAAATGTAAAGCTTTCTGCATCTTATAGAAAAATCACCTAAGAGTCAAAATGCAAATACATTTGGAAAATATATTTGTTGAAAGCAACTCTTTTAATGTACTCTTTTAAGTGTATCAACTGGCAACGGGCAGGGGATTTCTGGACATTTTCGACAATAAGTGGAAAACAGATCCTAGAACTCAAGGTCCAAAAGCACTGTAAGAGCCACTTGCTCTTACAGAGGAGGAATCTTAAGAGCCAGGGAGGAGATGTGCGCTGTACTCAGCCACACAGCCAGGGAGTACCAACGCCAGACAGGCACCATGACCTCTTCTTGATGAACAAAGTGAAATATTAAAAAGAAGGGGGAGTCGCCCAATAGAAGCTTCTGCATTTACAGTCTATGAAACCTCAAAACAGGATGCTAATGAAAATGCCAAACTGTCCACAGTGGCTTAAAATGCGTGCATTGTTGCCAGAGCAGAAATCCACACAGGAAAAGACTTGCAACTTTCCATAAGGCAGAGTGGACTTTTATTGACTAATAGTTGTTAGCAACCCCTACTGGGGGGCTGGCCCAGTGGCGTAGCGGTTAAGTTCACATGTTCCACTTCAGCTGTCTGGGAATCGTGGGTTCTGATCCCGGGCACGGACGTAACACTGCTCATCAGGCCACACTGTGGCGGTGTCCCACATAAAGTAGAGGAGGATTGGCACAGATATTATCTTAGTGACAATCTTCCTCAAGCAAAAAGAGGAAGATTGGCATCAGATGTCAGCTTAGGGCCAATCTTCCTCACACATACACGCACATATGCAAAAAAGACCCCTATTGGAAACAGATGGACTCCCAACAGAAGAGTGTTGGCAGAAGGGTGTTGGGTAGACGCGGAGGATAAGTACAGGACAGAAGCCATTATCCAGATTCCTTGGACAGATTTCAAGCTCTGTCCATGGTAAAAGGTCTGTGTGTCTTGACTTTGGAGAAGGTGGCCTTTTGTAAATACATTAGCATAGCTTAATACTACAAATCTAAAGACAGAAAGTCAATTCCCTGAAGAATATGGTGATTTGGACAAGTAAGGGCTTGCTGGCTAAGAAAAGCAAAATGGCTCTCCAGAAGTCACCTCTGCTTTGAAGCGTTCTCTGGGGACACTGCTGAATGCTGGAGAATCTACTCAAGTGCACACAGCATGTCCAGTTCTCTTTGCCATTTGGGAGGAAGACTTTCTTTTGGCAGGAAGAACAAAAAAGATGCTTCATTCTGTAGAGCAAAGATAAGATGGGAGAGCAATGGATCCAGAACCTTTTATTTAATGAGTAGCTTAAAAACGAACCCACCTCCAGTGCAAGGCTCAGAGAAGCCAAGTGGAGCAGAGCTCGAAGGCACACCTGACTCCCAGATGCCCTCACTCTG